AAGGCGTGAGTCACGTTGTGTATCAGTGCTGTGTTAGTAAGGTGTGAGTCACGTTGTGTATCAGTGCTGTGTTAGTAAGGCGTGAGTCACGTTGTGTGTCAGTGCTGTGTTAGTAAGGCGTGAGTCACGTTGTGTATCATTGCTGTGTTAGTAAGGCGTGAGTCACGTTGTGTGTCAGTGCTGTGTTAGTAAGGCGTGAGTCACGTTGTGTGTCAGTGCTGTGTTAGTAAGGCGTGAGTCACGTTGTGTGTCAGTGCTGTGTTAGTAAGGCGTGCGTCACGTTGTGTATCAGTGCTGTGTTAGTAAGGTGTGTGTCACGTTGTGTGTCAGTGCTGTGTTAGTAAGGCGTGAGTCACGTTGTGTATCAGTGCTGTGTTAGTAAGGCGTGAGTCACGTTGTGTATCAGTGCTGTGTTAGTAAGGCGTGAGTCACGTTGTGTATCAGTGCTGTGTTAGTAAGGCGTGAGTCACGTTGTGTATCAGTGCTGTGTTAGTAAGGCGTGAGTCACGTTGTGTATCAGTGCTGTGTTAGTAAGGCGTGAGTCACGTTGTGTGTCAGTGCTGTGTTAGTAAGGCGTGAGTCACGTTGTGTGTCAGTGCTGTGTTAGTAAGGCGTGAGTCACGTTGTGTGTCAGTGCTGTGTTAGTAAGGTGTGTGAGTCACGTTGTGTATCAGTGCTGTGTTAGTAAGGTGTGAGTCAGGTTGTGTATCAGTGCTGTGTTAGTAAGGCGTGAGTCACGTTGTGTGTCAGTGCTGTGTTAGTAAGGCGTGTGTCACGTTGTGTATCAGTGCTGTGTTAGTAAGGCGTGAGTCACGTTGTGTATCAGTGCTGTGTTAGTAAGGCGTGAGTCACGTTGTGTATCAGTGCTGTGTTAGTAAGGCGTGAGTCACGTTGTGTGTCAGTGCTGTGTTAGTAAGGCGTGAGTCACGTTGTGTATCAGTGCTGTGTTAGTAAGGCGTGAGTCACGTTGTGTATCAGTGCTGTGTTAGTAAGGCGTGTGTCACGTTGTGTATCAGTGCTGTGTTAGTAAGGCGTGTGTCACGTTGTGTATCAGTGCTGTGTTAGTAAGGCGTGAGTCACGTTGTGTATCAGTGCTGTGTTAGTAAGGCTTGTGTCACGTTGTGTATCAGTGCTGTGTTAGTAAGGCGTGAGTCACGTTGTGTGTCAGTGCTGTGTTAGTAAGGCGTGAGTCACGTTGTGTATCAGTGCTGTGTTAGTAAGGCGTGAGTCACGTTGTGTATCAGTGCTGTGTTAGTAAGGCGTGTGTCACATTGTGTGTCAGTGCTGTGTTAGTAAGGCGTGAGTCACGTTGTGAGTGCTGTGTTAGTAAGGCGTGAGTCACGTTGTGTGTCAGTGCTGTGTTAGTAAGGCGTGAGTCACGTTGTGTATCAGTGCTGTGTTAGTAAGGTGTGTGAGTCACGTTGTGTATCAGTGCTGTGTTAGTAAGGCGTGAGTCACGTTGTGCTAGGGAGCTTGAGACTGCTGCTATAGACCGTGGAGGCTGCAGCAGAAGGCGCTGAAGACAAAAGCAGCTTGTGTCGTTACTCACTCTGGTGGGCATGTAACGTTCAAGTGAAGATTGTGTTGTGGGGGGGTACGCGCCCCCCACAGCCCCCATCTACCGCGCATATCGACCAGGTCACACGGCGGCCTGCTGGGCACTCTGTGCCCATCGAACACATCGGAGGGCAGTGGTTTGATACGTGACGAGTGGCGGAGCGGCTGCCACACGAAGTGAATGAACCCGGGAGGGTACGTCCACTGCGAGAGATGGAGTGACCGAATCGGCGTGTGTGCAGGTCCCAGGTGGATTATTCCGTTGCAATTGTTTTGGGAGGCCTTCATTCAGCAGTAGATTGGTCATGGCAGTAGATGATGATCTTGATGATCATGCAACGCACTTTGAAGCAACTTGTCTTTAAGCGCTTACAATGCATCTCAACCCCAGGACATCACTTTGCAAACTCGAGAGTGAATTCTCAGTGGGCTTCCACCTGTATAAATAAGAGCGAGAGAGAGAGATAAATGTATGATTGATGCTTTTTGCTGGGGGACCGTGCGTGGACACGGTTAGCAGGGAGTGCAGGAATGTGGTGGTGGTGGTGGTGGAGGGGTGGCGGTTTATTATCTCTTGGAAATAGTTTTCAAGAGTCGGGGACACGTGCTCGAGTGGGGACACGTGCTCGAGTGGGGGACACGTGCTCGAGTGGGGGACACGTGCTCTAGTCGGGGACACGTGCTCGAGTGGGGGACACGTGCTCTAATGGGGGACACGTGCTCGAGTGGGGGACACGTGCTCTAGTGGGGACACGTGCTTTAGTGGAGGACACGTGCTCTAGTGGGGGACACGTGCTGGAGTGGGGGACACGTGCTCGAGTGGGGGACACGTGCTCTAATCGGGGACACGTGCTCGAGTGGGGACACGTGCTCTAGTCGGGGACACGTGCTCGAGTGGGGGACACATGCTCGAGTGGGGACACGTGCTTGTGTGGGGGACACGTGTTCGAGTGGAGACACGTGCTCGAGTGGGGGACACGTGCTCTAATGGGGGACACGTGCTCTAGTGGGGGACACGTGCTCGAGTGGGGGGCACGTGCTCGTGTGGGGGACACGTGCTCTAATGGGGGACACGTGCTCGAGTGGGGGACACGTGCTCTAGTGGGGGGCACGTGCTCGAGTGGGGGACACGTGCTCTAATGGGGGACACGTGCTCGAGCTGAATCCGCCCGCCTTTGTCTCCCCGCTGCATCGCGCCGTGTTGGTTAGTGCCCTCATTTTCTTTGTTTACCAATTCCAGCAGGCGCCGTCGGAGAACAACACGTTCAGTCCGGTTGTTTGTCCACCCGAGAAAGAATATTTGTTTTCCTTTTAGATCTATTGTATACGTTCAGAATAATACGAACCCACGGCCATATTTTTGTGTAGCAGAGTGATCGTTCTTTGCAATGGACTGTGCGAAAGAAGATTAAACATACGTGTATACACACGTGTTGCCGTGCGCTTTAACGAACACCCTCATTTGAAGACCACTTCCAAGACTCGTTTGTGAAACAGTTGCTCCGTTCGCTTTCGATATCGTTTTACTTTCGCTTGTTTATGGACATAAAATATACAGCGTCAACTCTTTGGTTCTATGACCCCGAGTGGAACAATTGTCTCCGCTCACGGCCAAGATCGATGACGAATACCTGAACTGTTGCTGGGCCTCCACAAGGTCAACTCGGCCTTAAATCAGTGCCTGTTGTGGTGTGTAAACATCGGCTCTGGGGAGACAAAGGTAGCTGGGCACAGCGTTTAGCCGTACGTCCACTCCCTCGTGCAACCACTGCACCACCTCTCGTGTTAGTCACCAGGCTTCCTCCGATGCGTTCTCTGTCCCGCGACAATGACATGAGCCTGTGTACTACGCTGGTGGGCTACGGATGCTGCCACGGTGTAACGGTGAGCACACGACCGGACCTCCATTCCAGAGATCCCCAGTTCCCGTCTCCCGCCGCGAATCCCGGTAGTCTACACGGATTCTCTGCACCGACGCACACGCATGCAGCGCACAACGATTCCCCACTATAGCTTCCACAGGCTCTTGGGGCAAGTGCTGTTCGCGTGGACCTCTGAAAGCTGACACGGCACACGATGGGGTGGGTGGCCAGCAACACGCACGGCTGCCTCTCTCTCTCTCTCTCTCCCAATGGCAATGTGTACACACCGCACCAGTTGTAGTACTTTATTAAGGCTGAGTCGACCTAGGGCAGGCCCAGGGGGCGGGTTCAGATAAATGTCACTGCCGGTGATGGTGGCCGTCAGCGGGAATCGAACTCTGCTCTCGAGGTGTTCTGGCTGCGGAATGGGAGGGGAGACGGTGGGGTGCCCGCGCCAGGCAGCTGAAGGTGAATTCTGGGGCTGTGGGTGCCCGGGCGAGCGAGATGCCACCGCCGCCGCCGCTGCTGCTGCTGCTGCCCGTGCTGACGGTGAGCGTATGTGAGTCTCAGCGGATGTGTTGTCACACCGTGCGTTTATTCGGAATTTCAACAGGATTGACATCGCTACTTAATTGACGTGGCCAAGGCCTGCAGAACCATCAAGAGGCCAGGGCGTTGGGCAAAAATGTCGTGCTTTCAATGCTCCCGATTTCCATTGCTCGTGATCATTAATTACCTAAATTATGGTGGGCAAGGCCAGGTAAAAACTGCGTGGTTTGGAGTCGGAGCAAATTTCTGTTAATCTCTTGGGGTGCAACAGTGATGTTTTCTGGCCCTTTAATATTTAAAATATCTTTTTTTACCACATTCAGTAGTTCAAGAAGCTTTTAATGGCTCCTCTATCAGTGGCATTTCCATCTGATACAGATACAATGGGTGGGCGATTGATGCCCTGGTGAGATCTAGGGATGGCTCCGTACTGACCGATCAAGCATGTTACTATGTATACTGATGGCCTGGTAATTGCTGCTCACTCTGTGATCACTCTCGTTTAAATTTGTGATGAACACCTCTTGCAGAGCAACACGACGGCCAACTCGCACAGCGCTGCCATCTCTAGGGGCCACGGTGAACTCAGGGCGATCCACAAACGGTGGTCCTTAAAAACAACCGACAACATTTATTTTGTGCTTTTTAAAGTAGATGTTACATTATTGCATTTTTGGAAGGGAAAAATAACTGAGTACAAAGTTGTATGAATGGCACATGCAGAGTTATTTGAATACGACGCATCTGGACGAGTCCAACCCAATATACAAATCCCGTTAAGTACATCATTAGACCTCCTTTGCCAGTACCAAAATGTAATAATAGGGTTTTTCCCCTTTTTTCTGGCAACAAAACTGAAACCTTTTTACAAGGATTCATGTCTGCATTAACCACAATACCTGCAGTCAAAATGCAAACAAAAAACATACTATGATAATATATACATTGTCCTTGGTGTGGACCAATCAGTTTCAAGGACAATGCAGCATATATTATCATAGTATGTTTTTTGTTTGCATTTTGACTGCAGGTATTGTGGTTAATGCAGACATGAATCCTTGTAAAAAGGTTTCAGTTTTGTTGCCAGAAAAAAGGGGAAAAACCCTATTATTAAATCCCGTTAAGTTTTATAAACAGAAAGACAAAAGAAGAATAGAAGTAGATGGCTCCATGCAAAATATTTACAGGTGAGCGTGTGGGCTGCAATGCAGTCCATTCTTTTACATTCTTCAAGAAGACGCCGTTGGCCCAAAACTCAGCATACTCTCATTGTTCCAATGTATAATATTTGACCTTTAACATACATTTGCTAAACCAACGCTCATTTGACTGTGCATGATATTTGAATGGTGTGTTTCAGCATTCGCAGTTTCCGCGTTTGGCGTGAGAGGTCTCCCAATTCTAAACACGGCTTTATAGCCACGTGGGCCAAACTCGGGTCACAGGGAGGGCAGAACAGACGACGGCCTCGCCCCGCCTTCACCAGGGCCTCCAGACGGAGTCGCGCCGTTCATCCCGAGGCACGGGGGCCGAGCGATCGGCCGGGCTTGGGCCGCGTTCGTCCCCTCGCCCGTGGCCGCGGTGGCGACGGTTCGGGAAAATCCTCGGCGGAGACGGCGGCGGCGGCGGTGGCGCCGCATCCTCCTGCGCTGCTCTGTTCGCGAGGACGTCCGGCGGCGGCGACGGCGGCGGTTCCTCCATCGTCGCCGCGTCCATGCTCGGTGGCGGCGATGGCGGCGGTGACGAGGAGGAGGACGAGGAGGAGGACGAGGAGGAGGACGAGGACGAGGGGCTGCGGCCGGCGGCGGCGCCCGCGAGCCTGGCGGTGGCGCCGTGCAGGTTGAGGCACTCCAGGAGGTGCCCGAGGAGCCGGGTGAGCGGCTCGCGCTCGGCCGTGCCGGGCGAAGCGGCCACGAAGCGCGCCACCTGCACCACGCAGTCGTGGAACCCCGCGCCGTAGCGGCCCGAGTTCGCCTCCTCGCTGAGCCCCTCGCCTGCCAGGGACACAACGAGGACGGGCGCGCGGCTCGAGGTGACGCTCGCGACGAGCGTGCGGGCGAGGATCCGTGCAGCAGGCAGACGTCGCGCGTGGCTCCGCTGTCATTCCACTGCTGGATGAGGGCCTCCCCGTGCCGCGTGGACCGTGGGGGTTATTGGACCATACTTCACCCTGCTGGTCAGCACTTCTAGGCTTCCACCGAGACCCGCTACTCCTACAGTCCACAGGTGGCCTTTGCCCATTGGGAGGTAGCTCACTCTCCCATGCCTGTCAATGACTTCCAATTTCCTCTCTCGGTGAAGTAGCTTCCACAGAGACCCACAGAGACCCATACACTCATAGAGACCCACAGATTCAGATAGACTTCCCTGGACTCATGTACAATCCCAATACTGCCTGCCTGCCTCTCTCTATAAAATAAAAATGCCCACGGTTTCTCTGCCAGCGTCTTGAGTCGTAGCCGCGTCGAGATGCTGTATAAAACTACGTTGTATTTGTATTGATAAGCGCGATCGCGGTAATTACCAAGAGAGTTTGTGATCATCACCGTTTGTCATCATCATCATCATCATTTGATCATTGGTAACGCTGATAATGAGTTACAATTGATGAGGAAGGGTGTGGGTGTGACGGTGGCGATGGTGGTGAAGACGACGTTGATACCACGTTGGTGCCTGACCATTTATCCACAGTTGTTGAGCTCGCGGTTTGCAACAAACAGCGCTGCTTGAGGGTGTCTGACGTTGTGCCAGGCTATAGTACGCGCTTGAGAAAAGAGGCGATGGGAGGGATATTAAAAGTGGAGCAGTGAAAGTAGCAGAAAAATAAAGTATAGTGACCTGCAGTGTGGTGAGTGGGTGAGTGTGTTGTTGTGACCTGCAGGGTGGTGAGTGGGTGAGTGTGTTGTTGTGACCTGCAGTGTGGTGAGTGGGTGAGTGTGTTGTTGTGACCTGCAGTGTGGTGAGTGGATGAGTGTTGTTGTGACCTGCAGTGTGGTGAGTGGGTGAGTGTGTTGTTGTGACCTGCAGTGTGGTGAGTGGGTGAGTGTGTTGTTGTGACCTGCAGTGTGGTGAGTGGGTGAGTGTGTTGTTGTGACCTGCAGTGTGGTGAGTGGGTCAGTGTGTTGTTGTGACCTGCGGTGTGGTGAGTGGGTCAGTGTGCTGTGACCTGCAGTGTGATGAGTGGGTGAGGGTGTTGCTGTGACCTGCAGTGTGGTGAGTGGGTGAGCGTGTTGTTGTGACCTGCAGTGTGGTGAGTGGGTGAGTGTGTTGTTGCGACCTGCAGTGTGGTGAGTGGGTGAGTGTGTTGTTGTGACCTGCAGTGTAGTGAGTGGGTGAGTGTGTTGTTGTGACCTGCAGTGTGGTGAGTGGGTGAGGGTGTTGTTGTGACGAGCGATGGAGTAGTGAGCGAAGGAGTTCATCTGTTCACCTGCAACTCCACTTCCCTTCTGGAGGCTCTGCAGGTGCTTTACTGTCATCTCCAGGATGTCGGCCTTCTCAAGCTTGGAATATCTGGTGCTCTGTTGTTTACAAACAGAGCAATACAGAATGACAAGGAAAATAATGATTCAATGTGAATTAAAAAAGGCAACGAATACCAATTTTTTAACCATATTTCAGCTGTCATTTGGCACGTTTCAAGGCAAATATGAACAAACACACAATTATGATTGAGTTATGTTGTTGGGAAAGTACTCGTTTCAATGCGTGACTCGGGAAATCACCAGGGGCTCAGTGGTCCCGGCCCTGCCCCTTCCAGGCGATTCTATGAAATGCCGCCAGTCAGAATCTCGATTCAAGTTCCCCCCCCCCTGCATGGCAATGAGTGGCAGCACATCTAGTGGCTGCAGGGATCGTGTTCCATACACAGCGCGACCCCTCGATTCATTCCCTCTCCGCCATCTGTCGTTTCCCCAGTGCTGTCAAACATCGACTCTTGGCACTCCCAGTACCGTCAAGGATTCAAGCACTCGACGAACAACCATTGTCAATGAACGTTTTATTATTTTAAGATTTAAAATATTTTATTTAGTAATTTGGCCCACAATCCAATGTGATTTGGGCTTGCACATCGCCCGAATGATGCATCTGCGCCGCAAGACGCCTTTGCAGCACTCTTGGATTCGCCAACCTGCCCTGGGTCTGTAACGTCACAGATGTCCACTTAATGTCCACTTCGGTCCACCGATGACGACCTGGCCGAGACATTGCCACGTGGGGCCGGTGTGGCGCTGGCCCTGTGGTGGTGGTGGTGGTGGTCGTGGCGGTGGTGGTGGTGGCGGCGGTGGTGGTGGTGGTGTTGTGCCGATGTGCGCCGGGGATGGAGGGAGCCGCTCTGTATGAGGAGAGACGGTGGCGAGACTCACGTCCTTGCGAGGAGCCTCCAGGATGAGCCCCTTCAGCTGGTTGAGGCTCTCGTTAATCCGGGCTCTCCTCCTCTTCTCCATGAGGGGCTTCAAGGTCTGGAGTCGTCATCATCATCATCACGGTCAAGTCATCATCACCATTGTCAACTCGCCACCCTCTTTAGGCATGACTGCCAACATCCACTGCCATTATGACCATCGTAATCACCGCCATCGTCATTACTGTAATTCGTCATCAACCCACCACCATAATCGACACACGAGAGAAGTGGGTGGCCAGCACTACGCCCGCACGGCCGCCTTCATCTCCCCAATGCTCATGTTTACACACTGCGCCAGGAACTCATCTAAGGCTAAGTCGACCTAGGGGAGACCCAGGACCGGTTCAAATTATTGTCCGTGAGCGTAAATCGTCAAACTCGGGCCGCCGGGTTCGTTGCGCAAGTCGCGCTAACCACTGCGCCACCGCTCCTCGTCCACACACCAGCACGGCCACTGTGGCCTCTCACGCGGGGACGCACCTTCCTGACGTCGCTGAGCTGGCTCGGGCCGGCGCTGTCGCGTTTCCTCCGGACCCTGGGGAGCACGGCTCTCTGCCCTCGGCACTGAGAAGTCACCGCTTCCATGGTTCCGGCTCGACTCTCCTCCCTGCGGAGCTGTCTCCAGCTGGCCTCCGTCGGTCAGGTGGACTGTGCTCACAGCGCCCACGTGCTCATCGCCTGTGCTAGCTTATAACAGCCTGCGGCTGTGACGCTGTCTGTCTGTCTCTGTGTGCGTCTCTGTGTGTCTGTCTCTGTGTGTCTGTTTGCGTGCTTCTGTGTTTGTGTATGGGCTATCTGCGTCTTTCGTTTTTTTAGTCTGCGTGTGTGTCCATATTTTTTTGTGTATCTGCGTGTTTGTTTAATTGTCTCTTGATTCTCTGCGTGTGTCTGTGTCTCTGTGTGTGTGTCTTTGTCTGTGTGTGCCGATACTCGGCTGGCTGTTCCTGTCGACAACCGCGCTTCTCTGCCCGTCGCTACGCAGGAGTAGACTTCCGAGTCATTCGACTTGTCTTTTCAAATTGCTCTGACTACACAAGTCGAACATCTATGCACATCTGTGCGAAATGCTGCTCTACGCTTCCGTCCGCCCCGCGTAGTCGCAACGTACTCCGTATGAATTATCCCTCGACGCACAGAGACGATCGCGAACGTTGTGTATGCAATCGCCCCTCGTCAAAGTGTCCGCCGCTCTTCCACGTGGGCTGCCTCGCCCGTTATGAGTCTCGTTGCCTGCGGTCGCGGGCGTTTATAAAGGTGGGGGGGGGGATAGGGAGGGGAGTGGAGGGATACTTAGAGGGGGTGGGGGGAGGGCGTGGTGGGTGGGGTGGGTGGTGGACGAAGGGGATCTCAGTGCTGGGTGCAGGGTCCATGTAAAAGAGCGAAACCCTCTCCACCCCCTTTTTGTTAAAATCCACTGCTGGATGAAAGTCTCCCCCCACCCTGCCCCTTACGTCTGCACGGTCGTCAAATAATACTTCACCACGCTGCTCGGCGCGGGTCGGTGAAGGCGGGCAGCATAGACAGACGGGGACGCATGTAAGTACAGCACAACAATAAATTGTTGCTGGACTGCCCTACCACGTAGCATCGCGAGCCCCGTGGTCACCCACCCGGGCTTCATCCAGGCTCAACGCTGCGTGGCCTGGCGAGATTCTGGCTGATTCGGCCACCGGCCTGTAGCTGGGTCGGCATGCGCGACTGACAGAAGCACATCGCGTGGTTACTCATTCTGTTTCACACTGATGATGATGAGTTTGACACCAATAAAGATGTTGGTAGAGGTGATGATGCCAAGTTTTATAAGCAGGAAAAAACAAAGACCCGGGTGTGACTACCTTGAGTGTTTGCATTACCCCCTCTTGAATAGTCACGCTGCAGGGTTCCGTCGACCCCGCCATAGCAATGTGGAATTTCCACCGCTGGCTCAAGGCTGTAAACAGAAGATGAGCAGCGGAAACGCAATGCTCATTTGAGCAGGAATCCACCCCACCTTTGGCTTGACGGGGCTAGGCAGGCGGTGGGGTGCTGGTGTGGGGGGGTGGCGCGTGGCTGGGTGGCGGGTCCCTGGTCACAATTCTAATCGCTGTCGGGGGACGCACACGCAGGCTGGGCCATTTAAACGAGCAAATGAGCTGTGGGCGGGTCTGGCACAGACAATGGGCGGCCCACTCACGCGCCACATTTAAATAACGACGGCGCGTGGCTCGCAACAACATAGACAATGACTCTAGGCAAAAAGGACGGCGTTAAAAAAAACACACTTTAAAAAACGGAAAAAAATTTACTCCTGGTAGAATGGCGAGCACGTAACAGCCGCTCTCCGCTCTCCTGTCTTTGCACTGGCTACCAGCCAAGTGCCGAGTGAGCTGTAGGACCATGCTGCTGTTGCTGACCTCTGTGGTACTACTCAATGGGTTAGCCCCGCAGTATTCACACGAACCGATCCCGTGTTTGCTCTCCAACGAAGGCCCTCTGAGATCTTCCGATCGCATTCTTCTAAGGACTCCGAGGTCAAGGCTCTGCCCTTCACCCCCGCCTAGTTGCGGCCGTTTTACCCTGCAGGTTCTGCTTATTTCCCGCTTTCGTACGTATGTATGTTGAACTTCTTTCGTACCGTACGTAGCCAACCACAGTAGCGCATTGGTGGTGGGACCTACGCGTGAAATGCGCCTTGCAAATGTAAACGATTATCTCAATGGCTGTGTTCTCGAGTCACAGATGGGTGGTCCAAGCTCGCGTGAGCTTCCGGCTCAAGCGAACCGGCTCCGAGCCGTACTTAACCTGAGCCGGCTCCGAGCCGCACTTAACTCGAGCCGGCTCCGAGCCGTACTTAACCTGAGCCGGCTCCGAGCCGCACTTAACCTGAGCCGGCTCCGAGCCGTGCTTAACCCGAGCCGGCTCCGAGCCGTGCTTAACCCGAGCCGCCTCTGAGTCATGGTTCCAGCAGTCGTGCTGACGATTTCCCATGAGCTGGGCCTGAGCCGAGCCACGACTGAGCCGCTCACTCGTGCGACTTTGAAAGCAGCTGAGCCGTGATTGAGAATAAGTCCCCAAAGCTCTTCCGGAGCATGTTGCTCGTCAACTATTGGCCTAATAATAAAATATAAAAAATATTTTATGCTTTCAAAAATACTGACAGCCCAAAAGCACAGCCGGTGTGTGATACGAGCGCGAAGTGAATATGGCTTTGAGTGAAATACAGTAATTCACTAAAATACAGTAAAGTGGATACTTCACACAAAAAAACCATCGGTCTGGCTCAAACGCAGACTGAGCACTTTCTGGGGGTGGCATCGAGTCGCGGTTGTCGGCTCTGTTTTAATTGCGCTACGTTCCACGCGCCCTCGCTTTGCTCGCTCGGCGACGAAGACGACATTTCAGTCCATGCACCTTTCAGACGTCATCGTGAAAACGCGGCCTGTGCCGACCTCCCCATCCGCTTCCCCAGGAACCCGACCAATTGTACATGCTATGTTGAACTTCTTTCGCACCGCATGTAGCCAACCGCGCTATTGGGATGTGGGGGTGGGGGGCAAGGTAAGAATTGTTACCGTTTGGGGTTGTGATTCAATTCAAGACCGGTCCTTTTTGTCTGCCTCGTTTTTTTTCTGTCTCACTTGCATGGTTCCCCTTTAATTGTCTCACTTGTGAGACAGAATTAAGCCCTTTTTCTCTCGTCGATTGACAACATTAGCACCCACTTTTCGTAGCTGGCGCCCCGCCATAGGAACGTAGAATTTCCAACACTGTAGCTCAGAGCCGCCGACAGAGATGGACACCACTCCTCTTCCCTCGTTCGAGTTTGTGAAACTAATTTGAGAGCTGTTGGCATTTCCGTTCGAAGTCTCGGCGATACCAAAACGACCAAAGCTGCGGTTGGGTTGAGACAACTCAAGCGTGGGGGAGGGGTTGCTGATGATGGGAGGAGCTGCAGAACAGCGGGGGTTGATGGGCTCCAGACACCGCACCGAGGAGTCAAAGCACAGGCATCGATTAACCTCGAAGGCCTCACGCTGGGTCAACTCCCTCGCTCGTTGTCCTACTCCCTGGAGTACCCAGTGGAACAGCAGGTGGTGTCAACCATCATCCGCACCGCCCCCAACCACCACCACCACCACCCTCCCCTAGCTGCCCCCCTCGGGGCCACCCCGCCACGCCGTGCCACGTGCGGTGTCTGGGGCCGCTCCCGACTCAACGCCTCCCCCCCACCCAAGTCACGCAGTCACAGCCCCGATCTACCCAAGGGAACCTTCCCCACACCCCGCTCCGGCACTCTGAACGTGTGCAGAGTGGAGGTGGTGGGCGGGGAGCGAGGGAGGGAGATGGAGCGAGGGAGGGGGAGCAGTCGACATTTGCGTGATGGATCACCTGCGAGCACTGGGCCGTACGAGATGCTTTTGGGATGCACTTTGTAAAAAAAAAAGAATCACGCAGATCGAGGCGGCTTGAGTGTGATCGTGTTTTTGTTTTCGGGTGCACTTTTGAAAGGTGCCCATGTCAGCTGATATATCTATGCAGTTGTCACGAGCCATCATGACGATTGTATAAATACAGCAGAAACTGGAAACCATGCAGATAACCACTCTCGTCTGCGCTCCTTCAACGGAGGACGAATTGCAATACGGCAGACGAACCCTCTCTCCTGAAGCCTTCTCGTCGTGGCCAGCAGCAGACCTCGAAATTGACATTCAGCTCCTGAACCACACTGCAGTCATCATCATGAACGAGAATAGAATCTTCCACGATAGCTCCGCTGCGAGATGAAGTGTCGGTAATGACATTTTGACCATACTTCACCACGCTGGTCACTGCGGGTTGATGAAGGTGGAGGAGGGGGGATTGAGGGGCCACTTGCCACTGATTTCAACCACTTGCACATCACAGCGCAACCACGGACATTATAATATCACAGCCGCATCGAGGCACGGCAAGGCAACACAATTGGAAATATTTGCATTCCCCACAAGGTGCGGCCTCACGCAATAGCAAAATGTGAGCAAGCATTCGACTGAAGCGACATTGAGAGATGCAATCAAATGTTCAGCAAAGTACATAAAAAACGAACGCGTGCATGGAAATTAATAATAATGTTAAACCCTTCATCAATCCACTGCTGGAATGAGGCTCTTCCCATGCCGTGTCATTCATGATAAATGTTTGACCATACTTCACCACGCTGGTCAATGCAGTTTGTTGAAATGGACGCATTCGTGCAGACAGATTTGCGCACTGTGCAAATCGCGCCAACATTCTTTCGCTTACTTTTTCTCTCTCCAGAATTACTGTCCCGATGGTGCTATTGAGATGTCTAATCCATAAAAAAAATCTCGCCGAGCCATTAGAGTAACTAGCCCGTTAAACATATGAACGCACTCAGTAACTAGATAACAGTATTACAATTACTACTACCGTACTGAGGATTGCTTCGCACTAGAGGGCAGCACGTCCACACCCAACTTGCTCATTAGGGTTCATGTTCATAATACAGTTTTTTTGTTTTAGATCGCGTAAATGTACGCGATATAACCCACAAAATTACGCGATCTAACCCCCCAAAACCTGTATTATGGATGCTATTGGTCGCGAAAGCCTACGGGTTAAACTGAGGGTTCATGTTCATTGGATGACAAAGTCGTTTTTAACTCTCACACCAGGAATCCAAAATAACTGCACAACCCAACTTAACGTGATGCTCTTCCCGTATCCCGTAAATGAACTGGCGCCTGTCATAGAAATGTAACTTTGTCTTTTAGCAGTCGTCACTTGTGTAAGATTTGCCACAAATTAGTCGTGTAACGATAAACCCATGTACACATTAAATATATACATTGTTGGAAAATGTTCTCTTATTTTCGTTAGTGTGCGGGGGTTTCCCGTGGCACTTCCAATACCCCCTCGTGACCGGGTCCATGCGCACACTCAGAATCAGAATTTTTATCTTGGGGAAATCCGATAAGCTATGAAGCTCTTTCCCCACATATGCCCGGTAAGATATCTTCTGATGTCACAGATGTCCACTCGTCCACCGGAGGGCAACACTTACCCGTGAGCCTCGCTGTTGGGACGTTCACAACAACAGCAAAGACTCAACACACATTCATCACCAAGATTGTGGCCTTAGAAGAAAATATATGGTAGACGACGTTTCGACCATTGGCCCTTCTTCATAACACTTCTTCTTAGCATATTTGTGTTAATAAATATTGCCCCGAAACGTCGCCTATTATATATTTATATTTGTTTCTCTTTAAGGCAACAGTGTTATTGGCGAATGTATTGGAGTTTTATATATATCATAAATAGTAGTGGCTTGGGCTGGACTTCATCCAGCAGTGGAGTGATCATTGCTGATATTGAGAAACGTAACTAAATGTATGTATGCAATTTGCAAGCGGTAGTTGAGTACATGTAATCACAACTGGTGCCACGTATAAGTTACATTATTAACATGTGAAGTATGTGGCTGCATTGGTTTCTTCTAATGTTATCACATTAAGCTTATTCTACAAGGTTATCATCATGGTATGTATTTTGATTGACGGTGCTTGGGCAAAGACCATCGAATCAGAGACATTACACGCGTCTCCCAAGAGAGGGAATCTAACCGGCACATTCTGTACTTGCTGCGTTCAAATGAGCATTCGCCTTTGGGGTGCCACGGTGGCTAGGAGATGTTAACTACCTCGCCTGGTATACAGGAGGACGTGGGTTCGATCCCGACCCTGACGCCTGCTGCTGTATATTTGGTGTTTGCGTCTCTCTTTCTCATCATCATCACGGTGGCTAGGAGATGTTAACTACCTCGCCTGGTATACTGGAAGTCGTGGGTTCGATCCCGACCCTGACGCCTGCTGTACAGGGTACTTCAAAACAATGTGAACACTTCCGATAATTTGCTACGACACCACAAGAAACGTGCTGCTGACTGCGGGATCTGGAGACCACCTGGAGAAGATGCCAGGCACGTGTTGACAATGATGGCGAACAAGTGGAAACTATAACTTTTGAAGCTATTAACATACATTTCTTAGCATGGTACAGTCTATTATCCGTTATTTTTCCATTTAAAACGATAGTCCCATATAAGGGTTTTTAAAAATGTGAAGCACCCTGTATATTTGGAGTCCGCGTCTCTCTCCCCGTGGTTAGCGTGGATTTTTCTCCGGGCCCTCCGGTTTTTCCCTCCACATTTAGAATCAACGTCACCACACGTTTAGAGTATTTGGAAAGCTATTAATGTTCACATGGTAAGCCACCTCTTTGGGCTATAAGTTGTGATAGCCATGTCGCGACTGAAATATAGTGAATAGCTCAGGGTGCCGAACGTATGTATGGAGAACTAATTTCGCACCGTACGTAGCCAACCGTGCTCATTTTTTAAAAAATAGCCTTTGACGAGCAACAGTAATTTATAAATACCACCAACCGACACAACAAATTAGTAAACTTTGTCACGTAAAACAAAACGTGACAACCCGTTACTAGTGCAGCACACCCGGTGTGTGAGAGCGCAAACCCCACTAGGACATCTACGATTCCAGCTGCTTGTATTACTTTCCTGTTCAGTAACACACAAGCAAAAATCTATCGAGGCGAGGTCCCGCCCACGTGGTGGGCCGGACCTCGCATCGACAACGCAGCAGCTCAGGTACCATGGAGACAGCCGTGGCCACGCTGAAGGGGGCCTCTTAGTGGCGTGCGGTGGCACGACAACAGCAGCCAGCAGCAGGAGCAGCTGCCGTGAGAAACGCTCGTGCGTTGTTGCATTGCTCGAGTGTTTACAATCGTGTAACTCACTGTAACATAGCGGTACGTGTGGGGACGAGTTCTAACGAGGAAAGAAGAAGCGCTGTTTTAAAATAAACTAAATTGGAAGGATGAATCCACAAACGTAACACTTTAAAAGTAGGGCAAAAAAAAGATAAATTTGTGAATTCTGGACAACATTGAACGAACATTCGCGAATTGGCAATTAGTGAATCGAGCGAATTAGACATTTCACGAGGTAAACAATAACAAGGAGAAGATATGCGACACAGGATTCTGCTATCGACATCACCACCACCACCAGCATCATCGTCGTCGTCGACATCACCGCCAACATCGCCAGCGTCGGCTTGACAATGGACGCGGCGTCCACGACGGACAAGCTGATGGAGGCGGCCAAGAGCGGAGACCTCGCAACGCTGCAGACTCTGCTGCTGCTGCCCCCGGGAGGTGGACGAGCCCCGGGGCAGCAGCGGCAGCGGCAAGAAGAAGGGCAAGAGGGGCCCGACGAGGAGGGAGACCGCGATGCGTGGGCCGACGGCCATCACGGGGCCACGCCGGCACACTACGCGGCCCGCGCCGGCCGCCTGGGGGCCCTGCGCTACATGGTGGAGGAGGGCGGCCTGCCCGGACACGCCAGGGCCCTCAACGGGGCCACGCCGGCACACGACGCCGCGGCCACGGGCCACTTGGCCTGCCTGCAGTGGCTGCTCACGAACGGCGGGTGCCGGCCAGAGGTGAGAGGGTCAGGGCACGGCGCGAGGAGAGTGACCTGCCGCTTTGGGTGACACGTGTCACGGTGGTGTGTGGGTTGGTGTTGCGGTGTGCATGGGGAGGGTGCGCGTGGGCGCTGTGTACACCTGACGTCTGACAGGTGTACGCGCTGGCTATGGCTCACCTTGGTAACGGCCCGTGCCGGTGCCGTGTGCTCATGTGGACAGATATGGGTACCCGTGGTAGGGTCCCCGTGGTGGTGGTGGTGATGGTAGTGTAGCGGTTAGCGCGCTACGAACCCGGCAACGCCGAGTTCGATTCCCGCTCACGGCCGGTGACGATTGCCTGAACCGGTCCTGGGCCTCCCCTAGGTCGACTCGGCCTCAAATGAGTACCTGGTGCGATGTGTAAACTTCGCCACTGGGGTTTGGAGACACAAGGCGATTTGGCTCCGTGCTGACCACCCACCCCCTCGTGTGCTGTGCCGCCTTTCATAGTTGCTCGCTAACAGCGCAACAAGTCTATAGAGTATTGGGGGTATTTGTCTTTGTGCACGTGGTTGGTCAATGTGTGTAAACGTGACCTGGCTGCAGCGACCTGGCTACGCACAGGAGGACACGTGCTGTTTATTTTGGCACCTGCGATTAGCACGGTCGGCGAGGTACGGTGCGACAAAAGTTCCTCAGACACACCCACCCACACGTGGCCCGGTGGACACAGCTGCCCAGTGTGGATACACGTGACTGTGAGACACGTGGGTGGGTCACGTGCGGGTCACGGTAGCCGGCTACAACCAAGGTGGTGGGTACCGTTAGGAGGAGAGCTTGGGTACACACGAGGGGTGATCGGTGTACCTTTGGTGTGTAAACAAGTGGCTGGGGGTGTCACGTAGGTGTGTACACACGTTGCTGAGGGTGTCACGTAGGTGTGTACACGTGTGGCTGGGTGTCACGTAGGTGTGTACACACGTTGCTGAGGGTGTCACGTAGGTGTGTACACGTGTGGCTGGGTGTGTCACGTAGGTGTGTACACGTGTGGCTGGGTGTGTCACGTAGGTGTGTACACGTGTGGCTGGGTGTGTCACGTAGGTGTGTACACGTGTGGCTGGGTGTGTCACGTAGGTGTGTACACGTGTGGCTGGGTGTGTCACGTAGGTGTGTACACACGTTGCTGAGGGTGTCACGTAGGTGTGTACACGTGTGGCTGGGTGTGTCACGTAGGTGTGTACACGTGTGGCTGGGTGTGTCACGTAGGTGTGTACACGTGTGGCTGGGTGTGTCACGTAGGTGTGTACACGTGTGGCTGGGTGTGTCACGTAGGTGTGTACACACGTTGCTGAGGGTGTCACGTAGGTGTGTACACGTGTGGCTGGGTGTGTCACGTAGGTGTGTACACACGTGGCTGGGTGTGTCACGTAGGTGTGTACACGTGTGGCTGGGCGTGTCACGTAGGTGTGTACACGTGTGGCTGGGGGTGTCACGTAGGTGTGTACACGTGTGGCTGGGTATGTCACGTAGGTGTGTACACGTGTGGCTGGGTATGTCACGTAGGTGTGTACACGTGTGGCTGGGTATGTCACGTAGGTGTGTACACGTGTGGCTGGGGGTGTCACGTAGGTGTGTACACGTGTGGCTGGGGGTGTCACGTAGGTATGTACACACGTGGCTGGGTATGTCACGTAGGTGTGTACACGTGTGGCTGGGGGTGTCACGTAGGTGTGTACACACGTGGCTGGGTATGTCACGTAGGTGTGTACACCTGTCGGGGTGTCACGTAGGTGTGTACACACGTGGCTGGGGGTGTCACGTAGGTGTGTACACGTGTGGCTGGGCGTGTCACGTAGGTGTGTACACATGTGGCTGGGGGTGTCACGTAGGTGTGTACACGTGTGGCTGGGCGTGTCACGTAGGTGTGTACACGTGTGGCTGGGTGTGTCACGTAGGTGTGTACACGTGTGGCTGGGTATGTCACGTAGGTGTGTACACGTGTGGCTGGGCGTGTCACGTAGGTGTGTACACGTGGATAACTCATTGTGGATGCACCAGGTGGTGTGTGTAACCCTGAGGTGTTACAGGTGGCTGTGGGTTTATCTGGTGGGCCATGCACCCTTGCGGGTATTTAAAGTGGTATATTTACTTACCTGCACTTGTGTACACCTGGGCACACCTGGCTGGGTACACCTGCAGCACACATGGAGATGTGTACAGCTGTTATTCAAGGTGGGGTGTGTGCACCTAACCCAGTTATTCTTCACCTTAACTGTAGCCTTGCACCCCTCTGATTCTCAATGGTTACAATATTTAGAAAGTTAATAAACGCATAGGGGCTTGACGAAACAAAGTAGTTGCACTTCCGTACCCGTGCTTCATTTGTGTTTCGATGATTTGCCTTCCAACAAAAGTCTGGCCATGTCTCGCACCCCCAGGGGTGCGAGATGCACCCCCTGGTTAAGAAGAAGAACCACTGTCCTAATCCTACATACTCCTGGCACTGCGCAAACCCTGATTCCGTGTGTTTATGGCAGCGTGTTCACCCGACTGCGCGTACTCTTGCAGCGCGTACACCGGGAGCACACCCACACCTGGCCCTGCCTACTACACCCAGCAGTGTGTACACCCGGAATGCACGTGGGTGAGTGTACACACACAGATGTGTATACCTGGTCCTGTGTGCAGTTAAACAGGTCTGCACACCCATGGGTTCGTTTGGTACACGTATATGGGTGTTACACGTATATGCAGTACACATGATGATGATGATGATGTATAAAACCACCCATTATTTATGTTGTTGCCATTCATATATTGATGTCTTACCCATTCCTGTGCCACGTGTGGTCACCTGACCCCAATCGCTGCACGCACGTAGTCTGCGTCTGTGTATTTTGTGGTCTGCGGTGTTTATTTTGGATGGGGTATAGAGTCATGCCCGTGTCCAACTCGCTCGCAATGCGCCTGATGTCATGATATCTGGGAAGGTAAGTATAGTTGAGCCTGGATAACGGCTTGATGGGTTACCACCGTGGACAAACAGGTTGCCACCGGGCTGGCGAGCAAATTGCAGTGCAGCAAAAGTCCAGTGTTGCACTGTACGTCTATGCTCCCTTGTCTGTGTTTCTCGCCTTCAACATGCACTGACCGGCGCGGGGAAACGTGATCAGATTATCCCCAGGACATGCACGCCGCGGGGAGGACCTCATCCAGCTGTGGAATGGAAATAGGGCAATGCGTTTACATACAGGTATCCAGCCCGCGCACGCACGCATATTTATATTACAGCAGCGTCAACACGTGTAGCCATGGAATATGACACCGCATGTGCACACAGCACGGGTGTCTGGTACGTAACATGTTTGTCTCTATTAAAGTATCCGGCGCTTTGTGCGAAGATGTCCTTAGCTTCGTACCACTACGAAATCCCTTTGAATGAATCGCCTCCATGCGCAAGCCCCAGCCCATGGAGTTAAGTAACATTCTGAGATCCGGACGCATTTCGGATGCACTGTGAATCCGGCTTTGTCGTCGAGAAAATCCTTAACAATGACCGATGGAAATTAAGCACCGGGAAATGACGCAAGGACCTCTAAGAATTCTGCAATGCGGGGCTTAGGATAAATACGAACGAAAACAAGAATTGCGTGCAACAAATTCGCCAACCAATTGGAGATACAACTGTAAAGCAGCAGAGTGTGTACCTAACGTAATATAATCGTCAATGGCAATATGTCTAGGAGTTAAATGCCAATATCGAGGTCTGCTAAGCCACGAGAGGGCTTCAGTGGAGAGTTCGTGTGGTTTTGTTCTTCCTGAATTGCATGAGTGCAGATGATAATATTTGGTTTACGACGAAGTCAACGGTTTATTTTGGTTGCACGACCACTCATGAAAGAGATGTGGTGCAGCATCAACTGATTGATATTCTGATGCGGTTGATGGCCCCACCAGTGTCTTCGAGGGACATCAAAGCCAAGTGGTGTGATGTTTGGCTTCCCATCGGTTTCCTCCCGTAGCTAGAAAATACCGTGCAATGTAACTCGCTTCGGCCAAACACGCCAACGCAACATCGCCCGTACTCCAAAAACTTGGCAGGACCCTCCTGAAAAAGTCTGAGACTCCTGAAAAAGAGTCTGAGACTCAGTGAGACTTTCCCGGGTAAAACGAGCAACATTTAATGAATAAAAAAAGTCCACTGCAGGTGCAGTATTAATTTACTCTGAATATTTTTTTTGCGCCAGAACATTTCCAATTAAACATGGATCAGCAACGTGCACATAGACCACAAATATGCGGCAAGATGTGTAGTGTGCAAAGAAGCGTGAAACAGTACACACTTGGAACGAGACTGAGAGAGCAGGAGGAACGCACGGATCAGAGAACACGCACAATTTAGAGGCACCATATGGACTGTAAAGTGAAGTAAGTGGACTTTAGCGGGCCACCTTACTAGAATTAATGATGGACATTCGTCGAAACTAATCATGGAGAGACAGCCAAAGGGGGACAACGCACACGATAGTGCGTCCATCGTGGAGATGGACTGATGAAATCCGCAGGTGTGCAGAACCTGGAATGAGCATCCCATTGCGTGACCGCGGAACGTGGCGACGGTTTGGTGGGTCCTGCAGCAGTGGATAGATCACGGCTGGCGATAATGATTCCAAATTGCAATGTTTGTAACGTGTGGTTGTCTTTACGCGTGTGCTATTTTTGGCGAATGCTTGTTTGCGTTGCGAGCAGCACTTAACACAAACGTGCGTGCAGCAGCACGAGCCACCTCCAGAGGCTCACCTGCTTAAGCGCTCATTTGCACCATTGTAATGGTCTGGGGCTTTTGTCTTCGCGGGCAGACACGCTCGCACGCACGCACGCACGTCCGGTCAGCTCGCCGGCCCAGAGAGGCGAGACCCGGGACAAGCTGTCGGCTTAGGGTTACGCTCGCAAGGAGAGGAAACTCCCCCCAGCAGCGCGTCGCTCACGCGAGCGGCTTCCCCTTGCTGCCCGGCCTCGTCACCCCTCCATCTCGC